TACTTCCATGTCATAAAGGCTTAGTCATGTCTCTTGACCAAGCAATGAGCTGGTGCCCTGACAATATGCTAATGTGGAAAGAGCAACTACCCTTTCTTCATATCAAGCCCAGCAAAATCCCCACTCACTTGAGATGATGGACATCTTCCATGGAAGGACATATCATGAACTGTGCAAACACTATATTTCTGTCAATGGGAAGACCTTGAAGATGAAATATTTTGATGCACCACGAGACATAGCCTTAGGTTTGTCAACTGATGGTTTTGCCCCTTTCAAGGCCCAAGAACAACTGCGTGGCCAACAATCTTGATCAACTACAACCTGCCACCGCAAGACAGGACACACATAAAGAACTTGCTTCAAATTGGTTGCATCCCAGGACCCAAGATGGTCAAAGATCTCAATTTGTTCTACTTCCCCTTGGCAGAAGAGCTCATTCTCCTGGCCAAAGGTGTGAGGACCTATGATGCCTCGAAACATGAGTTCTTTACCTTGTGAGCACACCTGATCATGCTCTTTGGGGATATGCCAGCAGTCGCCAAGCTGATGCATAGGAAGGGACATGCTGGAAACCAGCCATGCAGATTTTGCAATATCAGTTCAGTCTGTGCAAATGGGCACAAAGGCATACCTCTCGACCAACAATCCTTTCATTCCTCTTCATCTACAGCTTCAGCCCAGTATGATCCACTGAATCTCCCTCTTTGCTCACACAACTCGATTCTCTGTGAGGCCAAATCAGTCATGCAGGCTGAGAGCCATGCTGAAGCAGAGCATTGTGCAAAGGCATCTGGAATCAATGGAATCAGCATCTGGCAACACTTCGGGAGCATCATCTGGCCAACCTCATTCCCTCTTGACTTCATGCACCTTGTTTTTGAGAATGTTGTACCCCTCCTCCTTGATCTTTGGCTTGGTGTGAGCAAACACTGTGTTGAGGGGGACACATTCACCTTACTGCATGCAATTTGGACCAACATTGCCAAGCAAGTTGCCAAAAGTGGGAACACCATTGCTGGTGCCTTTGGCCAACATGTCCCACATCTCCTGAACAAACAGCATGAGTTCACAGCAGAAGCATATATGCTATGGATTACCCAATTGGCACCTGTTGTCCTCTTGTGGCAGTTCACCAATGAAGCATATTACCACCACTTGGTCAAATTGTCTCATTTCATCAATGACTGCCTCAGTTTTTCCTATCACACTGGCTTCATGACCATGCTCTGCAAGTGTTTGGCCAAGTGGGTTCTTCAATATGAGCGATTGTACTACCAGGGCAGTACAGATCATGTCAGCCTGTGCCTGGTCACAGTTCATTCACTGCTGCACTTAGCAGATTGTGTGGAACGGACTGGTCCACTTTGGACAACATGGGCATTTCCTATGGAGCAATTTTGCAGTCAGCTACAATGTGCAGTGACAGGACATTTGAATCCTTACCCTGGAATTGACCGACACATCCTCCAACTCTGCCAGTGGGACATACTGAAGCTGAAGTACAAGCTGCATGGAATCAAATATGATCCTAGGAGGGAGGTAGATGAATTGCATCATATGATGGCACCAAAGTCTGAGCTGGAACTCAGCAAGGCCCTGGAAGAGAAGCTGGTCACATACCTCTCTGCTGTGTTTCATGTCAGAAAAACAGAGGCAAAGGATGCACTTCCAAAACATGTCACACAATGGGGCAAGTTGCAACTCTCTCTTGCAAGGGAGATACTGTGCATGCTGCTCAGGGACTGCGCACATGCCATAACAGAGACATGACCTACATATGGGTGAGTACCATTTTGTAGAATAGAATGACATATGACTGACCTGTCTAATTTGAGTACAAATCACCCAAGCATCCATCACTGTTCATCCTGTACAGCCAACTTCAGCATCTGATTGATTTGCCAATTTGAAATGTCCTTCTTGAGCTTGCATTCATAAAGTTCTGCAAGGCAGATACTGAAGCCCCACCATATGGCACAGCTCTGGTGTTCACAAGGTTGATGGCAATGCAAGTGCTTGACATCTTGGCCATCAAAGCTGTGGTGGGTTGTGTACAGGATAACCAAGGTCATTGGTGTATCATAGATTGCAAGCCACCTGTTGCAACAACAGAGTAAGGCCTTTGAGCTCAATCACATGGGGAAGCAGGTAGGATTAGGGGTGAGGGGCAGGGGAAGTGGGGCAGGGATGTGTTGAGGCACAGGATAGTATTACATATCATATGTATCAGTCCACAGGGCAATGCAGAGAATGATACATGAATATTGGCTGGTTACATTACTTGTGGGGGAGAATATCACAATCCTCAAGCTCTTGCTCTTTCTCCAGACAGTTTGCTTGCCTTCTGGCCTTTTGCTCAGCTGACCACTGCTTCAATGAGATAGTCCACTTTGGTGGCACCACTGCAGCTGCCACACTTGAGAGAGATAACTGCACAGCCACCATCTCCATGCCACAAGTGGGCTGTTGGATGTCCTCAAAGATGGGCAATATGCTTCTTTCCCCACCACTGTCCATGAAAGATTGGGGAATGCTCTCCTTTAGTGGAGGAGAGTGGGAGCTGGATCCTGATGGCATTGACAATTGAACCTCCAGATGCAAGGCACATTCCTTATTGGCAGCTCTAAGGGGCTGGGGGGGGGGGG